AGAATGACATGGGTTTACTTTCTTGGCAACAAAGGTCAAGCCTTACCTGTGTTCAAAAAATTCAAGGCTTTGGTTGAAAACCAAAGTGGATGCAGAATTAAAAAACTCAGATCAGATAATGGCAAGGAGTATACCTCCAATGATTTTAATTTGTTTTGTGAAGAAGCTGGTGTTGATCCTCAATTAATAGTGTCTTATACCCCATAGCAAAATAGCATTGCATAAAGGAAAAATAAAACTGTTATGGAGATGGCAAGGTGCATGTTAGCAGAGAAGAAATTGCCCAAATCTTTTTGGGTTGAAGCAGTTTATACAGCAATTTATCTCTTAAATGGTTTACCAACAAAGGCAGTAAAAGGCATGACACCTATTGAGGCTTGGTATGGTCAAAAACCATCTGTTGATCATTTGAAGGTTTTTGGCTCAATTTGTTATAATCATGTTCCAGCAGCTAAAAGAGGGAAATTAGATGAGAAGGCAGAAATTGGGATCTTTATAGGCTATGCAACACAAGCAATAGGCTATGCAACATAAGCAAAAGGCTATGCAACATAAGCAAAAGGCTATAAGGTGTATGATCCCATATCCAAGAAGGTGAATGTGCATAAAGATGTGTTTTTTATGAGAGTGCACATTGGAATTGAGATGCAGGGAAGATAGAAAAAGGTTCAAAGAAGCAGTGTGAAACCGGTTCAAAATTAAAATCAACTGATGTTGTTGCAGTTCTGAAATTATAGAAGTTGATGATGATTCATCGGTTTTGAAAACCAAGTCAGTAGCTGAGATTTATGCAAGATGTAATTTAGCTTCTGCAGAACCTAATTGTTTTGAAGAAGCAGCTAAGCAACAGGTTTGGATTGATGCCATGAAGGAGGAGTTATCTATGATCGAAAAAAATCAAACTTGGTGTCTTGTTCCAAAACTAGATGATAAGAAGCCTATTGGAGTGAAGTGGGTGTTTCGAACTAAGCTAAATCCAGATGGTTCTATACACAAACATAAGGCCAGACTTGTTATGAAGAGGTATGCTCAACAGCCGAGGGTTGATTATGGAGAGACTTATGCTCCGGTGGCAAGACATGATACAGTAAGGCTTTTAATTGCATTAGCTGCTAATTTGGGTTGGAAATTGTTTCATATGGATATAAAATCAGCTTTCCTTAATGGTGTTCTGCAAGAGGAAATTTATGTTGACCAACCACCTGGGTTTGAGATTACAAGGAAGGAAGATTGTGTTTATAAGCTTAACAAGGCTTTGTATGGTCTAAAATAGGCGCCAAGGGCCTGGTATTGCAGAATTGATGACTACTTGATGAGTCAAGGCTTCAAGAAGAGCACAAAAGAAGCAACTTTGTATGTGAAAGGCAACAGCAATGAATCTCAGCTTATTTTGTCACTTTATGTGGATGACTTATTGTTAACAAGAAATGATTTGAAGTCATTGGAACAATTCAAGAAGGTTATGATGCAGGAGTTTGCAATAACAGATTTGGGAGAGACAAAGTACTTTTTGGGACTTGAAGTTCAGCAATTGAGCAAGGGAATTTTCATTTGCCAGAGAAAGTATGCATTGGATATCTTGAAGAAGTTTGAAATGGAGAATTGTAAACCAGTTGCCACTCCACTGGTTCAATATGAAAAGCTTTCTAAGGATGATCAAGAAACCAAGGTTGATTCCTCCTACTACCAAAGTTTAATTGGTAGCCTGCTTTATTTAACTACTACAAGACCTGATTTGATGTTTGCAGCAAGTTATTTGTCAAGGTTATGTTAGCTCATAGTAAACTTCATTTAGTTGCAGCCAAGAGAGTTCTTAGGTACATCAAAGGAACCTATGAACTTGGCTTGTGGTTTGACAATAATCAACAAGGAAGGTTACAAGGGTATGCTGATAGTGATTGGGCAGGTTTTATGGAGGATATGATAAGCACAACAGGTTATGTGTTCTCCTTTAGTTCAGGGAGTTTCTCTTGGAATTCAAAGAAGCAGGATGTTGTAGCTCAATCCACAGCTGAGGCCAAGTATTGAGCAGCTAGAGCAACAGCGAATCATGCTATTTGGCTTAGAATGGTGCTTGAAGAACTTGGTTTTGATCAAATTGAGCCTTGTGCACTCAAGGTAGATAACATGTCAGCAATTGCTATTGTTCAAAATCCAGTGCAACATGGTAGGACCAAACACATCAATATTAAATATCATGTTATCAGAAATTATGTTCAGGACAAAGAGATTATTTTGCAGCATTGTGATTCTAAAGTTCAAGTTGCAGATATCTTGACTAAAACTCTTCCAAGGCAGAAATTTGAAGAGTTCAGAGATATGCTTGGAGTTACAAATATAAAAAACAAGGAGGAGTGTTGAAGTTAGCAGATATCAGTTATGCTTTTTAATTTGTAATTGTTTTTTTTTTAGTTTTTTGTAGTTAAGGTCTATGGTTTCTAGTAGTTTTCTTTTGTAAAACTGATATGTACAAGTTACTTATTTTTCAACAACTCTTATGTCTTGTGATTTTTATCTGAAATGAAAAAAGAGCTCCATATCAGAGAAGCTCTTGTTCTGAAAGTTTCTGATTCTGCATTTTCTGTGTTCTTTTACTTTACTGCAAAAACTTATATGAACATAGTCCGGCCATTTGACTCAACAGTTGGCGCCATCATCAACTAACTTTTCTCACAACAACTAACAAAAACGAACTCATCAACAACAAAATTCATCAAACAAATCTACAGAAACTTTGATGAAGTAGCTACAGATTAAGAGGATTACTCTTTTGAGTGATGATTACTTGATTGAGCCTCAGTCTGAATATGGAGAGGAGATATTTTGGGTTGAAGAGTTCAGATTTTTTTTTTTTTTTTAATGAAGAAACGGACAAAAATGGAAAGAGAGAGATTTTGGAGTGATTGCGAAAACAGGTGATGGCAACGGTGGAGAAGAGACTGGCGGTGTTAGAGATGTGACGACGATCACATTCACATGCGTGAGTGATGGCATTGCTACGATTGGCAGCATTGAATCTGTAATAAGTAGTAGCGGTGAAATGTTTCCCGATATAATAAGATTTTTTTTTTTTCTTCCACGGGATACACTTGAAGAATCTAATGAAAGCACGGGCGACAAGTTGGCTGGACCCACGGATCTGGTTTAAACTAGATTTTTATTTTTATTTTTTTCCTGAACTAACAGTTTTTGTTTTTTTTTTTTTTATGGACTAAAATGAAAGAAGCTGAATCTTACCATTAGTCAAGCCCCTCAATACACCTAAAGGAAAAATCTTTGATGCATTTGAGATTGCAAAAATTACCAACTGTAAAATGTGAATCTACAGCCTTTGATTTCGTTCATATTATGAAATTTTATACAGGATCTGCCGCCTAACAGTCTGCATGATTGAAGAGTTTTGCTCCATTTGTTGCCGTTGCCGTTGCTATCATACCATCCAATCCATCAATGTTGAGCAGTCTCAAACAGTCATCAACATCAGGGAGCTGTGGACCATAAAATTTATCAGAAAAAAACAGCTGAAAGCATAAACTCGAAACCTTAGGATGGATGGAGAGGATTCTCTAAAATTAGGAAAACAGCAGGGCAATCATTGTATAGCTCAAACACTCTTATCACTAAAACAGAATCTTGTTTCTTTGAGCCAATCTCAGTGTATCCTAGAGAGTACAAATCAGAGCATGATTCTACAATTGAGTGGAAATTTTTTTCTACTCTATGTGGTTCATGAAAGGGGATTTGGAGGCTATTTGAAAGGGCTACCTAAAATGAAAGGATAAAATATAAATGCAAAAATGAGGAATCATTAGAAGAATAGATGATACTGACCAGCTTCATCGAAGTTTACTCTCTCTCCAGTGGAGAAGATGATGTAGAAAAGAGCTGACAGAAAGTATAAGAGGGATGTGAGCAACAGAAATCCTTGGAAAGATCCCGCCAATTCAACAAAGAAACCAGCTCCAACTGTTCCCACAATAGCAGCTAATGTTCCAGCTGTGTTTGACAATCCTAAAACCAAAAGTTAAGAGTACTCATCATTATCAAACATGTACCAAAATGAAACTTTTCTGATTTCTCACAAGGATGTTAAATGGATTTGCAATTTGATATTATTGATTAATTCATTTAATGGCATAGCTTCTCATGCTCAGTACATTTCTCTGCAAATAATAAAAGCTATATGATGCAAGATATAATCTGTTCAAAGTAGTTTTAATACTGATTTATAACTGCCAATTATCTGGACAGATTCAATAGGAGTCTTTCACTATGATTGTGAAGTTTATTACTAAAGGCAATTTGGTGTTAAAACTTTTAAGCAAAATAAATCAGATCAAACAACTTTTGATACATAATAATGAGGATAGACTGATCACTGATGTACCATGTAAAATGCCAGAATATTGGGGAGCAATCTCCTGGCAGCAAAAATAGAGGGAAAAGTTAGGGGGCAGATTAAAAAAAATATCAACTCTTCAATTTAATTTTAGAATAGTTCATTCAAGACCAAAACCTGAAGGTTGACAAGGAAACCACAATGACTGAATGATTTCAGCCCAACGGCTAAACTAAGCCAAGCAGACGCAACAATTGGCCTTTTTGCTGCTGTTAAACCAATCAAAGAGAAGCCGGCACCAAGAAAACCAATAGACTGCACAAGGCATATATAGGATGCTTAAAGAGCAGAAATAAAGAACTAAACAACCAAGAAACATCTGGGGACTGAAAGGAAAGTCTACAAACATATTTCTAAAGTTTATTTAACTTGATCACATAAATCCACCAACAAATACATGCATGCATTAGGTTCTGATTTATATTGTTATGTAAAGATAAGGTTTTGCTCTCATGGCAATTAATTGCATGCAGCAAGTTATGTTCCAGTAAATCACATCATTGGGCATATTACAATTAGCTAAAAGGAAAACATAGAATTAAATACTATTTTCCAGCTTCCATTGTAATGACGAAACAACCTAAATAAACAATAAAACTACAGTCCAAAACAGTAAAGTTAACATTGTCAAGCAAAAAACAAATGGACGTACATGATTGACATTTTTCATCAAGAAAACTTGTCAAGAGAGGATGACAAAAATCTAATAATTACAAAAACAGTGAACCTGCATCATCTTGCGAGTCAAAGTGACACTGGTACCATTCTTTATCAACAAGTCTGACCACATACCAGCAAGGAATCCCGTTAAAGCCATCATGCTCCATGGAACAGCACTAAACCATGCTGCTTGTCTGAGATCAACAAGGTGTACCTATAACAGAATGGACATCCATGTTATATGTAGCTCACACTAGGATTAAGACCTAGGTATATGCCAGTCAAGATGTGAATCTAGAGCTTATTGTTAAGTGCTAGACCTTACCGAGTTGAAGTAAATGGGCATCCATGAAAGTATGACAAAAAATCCCTGCAGAATAATTTCAATAAAAAGGTGAGATTATGGGCAGAAATATAAAATTATACCACTGAAGCATAACACCATTTTACTGAACAGCTATATTCCTTACAGGAAAAAAAGAACAGCTATGCTCCTCCAGCAATTAAGTCATTTTAACCTTTTGAAGCAGGTCCAATTTCAACAAAAAAATTTACAAACCAGATAATAATCCAATAGATCTTTCACTCTTTTATCACATGAGCAAAGTTTGGTTACATTAGTGGATGAGGAAAACTGTAAGCAGTAGACTATTTCGTCTAAAGACAACCTTGGAGGCTTGGAAACAAGATATATGGCAGGGTGAACATCAGATAGCATATTCCAGCCAATGTCATGGTTGGATCATATTAAGAAAATTTTACAATGATACAAATAAGAAACCACGAGAAAGGGCACCAACATTACCCAGCTATGCATGGCATTTGCAACAATTAGGGACCATGTTGGCATTTTAGAAAGCAGTCTTCTGAGTGGAGGCATCATTTTGGCTGCCCTAGGTTTTTTCTCAGCTGCAAGAGATTTCTTCCTATCCTTCATTATGTATTCCAGTTCATATTTTGAAATCTGGCGACTTTGGTCAGGAGTACCTGAAGTTGCAGATAACCATACCAAAACCCAAAGAAATCCACATAGACCAAATATCACAAATGGTCCAAATATACCCGCTTGTGACATGAGAATTGGAGACAGAGTGAGTCCTATTGCATTTCCAAGCTGAAATCCAGCCATTGCAATTCCAACAGCCCTTGCACGTTCTGTCTGAGGAAACCATCTAAAAGAAAAGGTTTGCAGAATCTCTTATATAGTCTGGATTCACCATATTGTTACTATGAAAATGAACTCGTTGGCAGGCACAAAATATATATCATCAGTTTACTCTGATCATCAACAAACATGACAGTATAATAAGCAGACCATCAATACCTTGCTATCATGTTGTTCATGCAAGGAAGAGCTACACCTTCTGCCACACCAAGCATAGCTCGTGCAAGAAGTAATGCCCACAAAGAAGTTTCAGCTGCCCATGGTGTAAGAAATGTAGATAATGACCACAATGCCACACCCCATGCCATCACTACCTTACCACCATAGTAGTCCACTAATGCTCCCCCTGCTATTGTCATCAAGTATCCCCATAGAAAAGATGACTGCAACAAGTTCGAAAGCTCAGAGGCACACAACTGATAAGAATGTTACAGTTCAGGAAAAGCATGATTAGCAGTTATTTTGAATATGCCCCTCAACCCCACTTGAGTAGCAGCTTAATTCGTAAAACTGGAAAAAGCCTCTATAAGCTAGTTAAATTAAACAAACTTGATGTGTCTTAGCAGGTTAAATACTCAGCAGCAAAACAATTGAAGGAAGTGATGAACTAAGGTCACCTGAACAATGCCAGAAAACGATCGGCTCCACCCGTGAGCGAGCGACAAAGGCACAATCGCCACTGACATCACAACTCTATCCGCGTTGCAAAGCGCCAGAGCCAAAGCGAGCATAGCCACCACTTTGACTCGCTCCGACGTGATAAACTCGGTGAAACTAGGAGACTGATCAGTCCCGCTCCCGCGCTCTTCCGGAATCGGACCAAACTCAGCACCGTTCGAGGAAAATCCAAAAACTGGACGACACAGAATCTTCCCCGACTCATTCCGGTCATCTCGAAGCTGAATTCTCAAAAAGCTACTGGAACAAGTATTCTTCAAGTGCCTCCACTTCGAGAAATCGTTGAAAAGTGACGGAATTTGTAGTTTACATGGCTTAATTCCGACGATCTTATGGTTTTCAGAGGACGGGAGAGAATAACAATAACTCCGAATCGATCGATTCAAAGAAAGCGCAGAGTTCATCTTCTACTTCACAGTGCAGAACAGTAGGAGAGCCATACAGAGCCGGCGGCAGCTGCCTAGTTTATAATTTTATATACCGTTGAGACTAGTGAAATGACTGAAACAGCCCCTGTCCACATTGTGGACTATATGGTAAATGTGTAAAATTTCTTACATTGGGGGCGAAATTTGGGAGTTCACTAATTCTATTTGCCCTTTACCTTTCACGCGAAAAATTGCAGTTCATTCTTATGAGTCATCATTAAACTCAGGAGAGAGGAAGTGAAAAGACAGATTGGAATAATTGATTAAGATTTCATATCCTACCAAATGGTTCGAAAACGATTTCAAGACGCAAAAACAGGTATTCCCATCCATCCGTTCGATGAAATTTTTTATCTTTGTGGGATTTTGTCGGGAAAATTATCAATTTTGAATTTGCTTAGAGTATGTCTTCCAGATGTTCGATGAAATGTTTGAATGAATTTCAGGTTTCAAATTGCTGAACTCGGTGACTGTACAGAAGTACCTGAAGAAGGTGGGACTGGGAAAAGAAGATTATCACTTCTGGAAACAAGTGGGGAAGGCTTTGTTATGCACTTACACCATCTTCGGCATAGCGTGGCTGTACAATGAAACCTCGCCGTTTGGGTGGTGGACGCTGAAGCCAAGGCCGAAGGAGGAGAGAGAGCTGGCCCATCTCTATGAGCGGCGGGAGTTCCCGTACCCAGGTGATGCGGAAGCAATGGAGGAGTTCATAGCCAAGGGAGGCATGATTGGCACCACCATTGGCCCAAAAGGAATTGTGGAGACGGATAAAGATGCATTAAATTATCAGGAGGAGTTGCAGAACAAGAAGTTTGAGCAGGAGGCACTGAAGCTGTGGTTCAGGATGAGGAATGAGGTCATTGCAGAGCTTCAAGAGAAAGGGTATGATGTTGAGTAAATGTCTTCCGTTATATAAATTCACATCATGAATTGCTTAATGCAAAAGCTATGCTTTTGTATTGATGTCTTTGCGTTGTTGGCACGACTTCAGACCCAAGTGGCAACTTGAGTGCTAATCTATCGATGCTATATTATCTTTGGTTTACTTAGAATATTTGTGCATTTCTTTCTTTACTTTAATCTTCACCTTTTGAGTTTGAGTAGAATGTTTTCTCTCGGAGAGTTCCAAGGTAACAATTTCCATTATCAAATTGGTTTCTATATGGAACTTTAAAATGTGTACAAGATCATATCATCCTAGTCTGATTAAGCAATTTCATTTTGTGACCACAACAGTTCTCAGCATAAATAAAGTAAGAGACTACTTATCCAAATTTTCATTTGCTACTTTGTTAAAAAAATAAAAAAATAAATAAACATGCTTGGCAGTTGGCATATGAAAGCTGGTCACCTGATGTGGTGTTTATCTATAGAACAAACAAGGAGAAACACATTCATACATGTTTTAACAGCATTTCAAGTGATAATAAATTCAAGTGCCATTACAGTTCATTCACACCAGCAGATTGCATGCTTTTTAGCCTACTTTTTCCAGATTTGCTTCCTTTGTAGCTCCTCAGTGGTGTCAAGTAGAACCGTAAGAGGCCATTGTCAAGATTGTTAGGAGAATACCTGATGCTACAATTCTGCTGCGGTGCAACATTCTCCCTTCTCTTTTCACTGTCACCTTTAGTCTCAGCACTACTCATTCCATGAAATGCTCCCTCCAACTTGGAGGAATTCCTGCAGCTAACGCTATAGCTCCTCACAAGCTTCTGCCCAACAACACCTCCATTTGCATCCTCCTTGGCCATCCTCAACTTCTGCAATGACTCTGCTAATGTCCCATCACAGACCTTTCCTTTAGTATCCCTATCTTCATCTGCATTTGACACCCTCACACTCCTCAGCTTTTGCAAAGATTCTGCTAGTGTCTCATCACCTACCTTCCCTTCAATATCTCGATCTTCTTCTGAATTGGAAGCCCTCCTGAGCATCTGCAGAGACTCTATTAGCTTCTCATTGCTCGAATTTCCTTCAACACTTCTATCTCTGCCTCCATTGGCCGCCCTCCTCCTCATCCTTAGCTTTTGCAAAGACTCTAATAGAGACTCATTGTCAACATCCCCTCCAACATTCATATCTTCATCTCCAAATTCACTCCTCTTTTGCCTCTGTATCAAACCCCATATATTCAATAAATTTTTCCATTTTGGCAACTTCTTCAAGTCATACTCTTTCTGCCTAACCCTAGAAGCAACAACTTCAACATCCTTAGAAGCAGATTCCACACTCTTCTTTTGATAATCTTTGATAGAATACCAATTAGAATCTCTCAACTCCTTCTCTGTAACCAACAGCTTCGCCCCGTGGAACAACCCATCAGTTTCTGGTGACACCTTTGCATTTGATACTGATGATCTGAAATCATCACCCTCCCCTAAGCTCATCCTCCGGCGATCAAAACTCCTCCTCCTTCTATGTGAACTTACAGAGTCTGCATAATAATCTCTAGTCTGAGCTGTTCCGCCAGGACTCTTCTCCTCCTCATCTACCACACTCAATTTCTCTTCACCAACAGCAACATTGTCATCCTCCTTAACCAAAACCATCTGGGTAGACTTCGGATTTTGTTTCCCAATCAGATAACCATCCCAAGAAGCCCTAGGTTCTTCAAAAGAGAACCGCGAGCCATCCACAGATAATCGCCCAACATCAAGTGATAATCTTGCATCCGTATCGCAAGATCTCCTCCCAAGCCCATATTCCCCAACCTCTGACTGGGCCTCTCTTAATCTTCTCAAATTTGTACGCACCGCTTGCTCCAAGCTGGAATTGTTCTCCTTCTTCTTCTCCTCCTGTTTCCGCCTCCATTTCCTTAACTTTTTGCTGAAAACCGAAGCCGCGTCCCAGAATGACTTTCTTGAACTTTTCTTGTTACCCCATTCGAGATCTATGAACTCCTTCATTGTCTTGAACTCTCCCTCTTCTTCAAGATCTTGGAAAACGGCAATGTCTCGTACATTGGAAGGCAGGGGATTTGGGTTCAGATTTGGATTAGGGTCTTTTATTCGGTCATCTATGGCAAAAAGGTCGTGGAGAGTGTTGTGAGCCCTAACGTCGCAAGATTTGCGGCGGGGTTCGGATGCTGAGGAGGAAGAAGGATTGTGGCCCCCGGAACAAGATTTAGAGCGACGAAGCTGGGCGGTGGTTGTGGTGGTGGAGAATGTGCATGATGGGGACTGGTTTTGGATGCCTTCGAGACGTTCGCGGAGACATGATGCGCAGAGACCGGTGACAGGGGTAGCACCGGGATGGCGGTGACAGGAGGAGTGGCGATGGTGACGGTGGTGGCGAGGCTGGGGTGGAAAAGTCATGGTGAAGTGGTCACCGACTTCATGTTCCAGAAAGAGGATAAATTGTAGTACTGCCGGACATTGAGTTCTGTCTGAGATTTAAGATGGGCAGTTAGAGACCGAGAAAACCCAGTATAAACCCTCCTTCTCCTTGTTTAGGGAGGTTAAACCATTTTTCTTTTTAATAACATTTCTGCAAAATTAACCGACAATATGTTGTTTCCAGTGGAAACGAGTTTAGTTTTTTTTAAATAAGTTTTTAAATTTGGAGTTTATAAATGCAAAAATAAGTTATGAGATAATACCAACTAGCTGTTGATTCGAGTAAGAGGTGTCTTTAAGTAAAATTTTGATTTTGAGCGTTGTAAATGAAAAAATAAGTATTGAAAGAATTTTTTTTAATGGATTCGATATAACTCGATTTTGAATTGGTTAGAATTAAATATGATTATAAAAAATTGAGAGATTAATATAAAAAAAATTATCATATACCAAAAAGTAAATAAAAAAAGAAAGAAAAATTTTTTGCAAAATTAATTTCATCCATATCTTAATGATTATGAATATTTGGATAATTTATTTATTTTACAAAATTGATTCACATAAACTAATGTTTTCTTATAGCAGCTGACTAGCTGTTGCATTTATCAAATGAATTAATTTGTTAATTCAAGCAGTACCACTTAAAATTATAAAATGTGTGAAACACTTTTCAAATACTTAAAAAAAATTTAAAAAAAGTGTTGTTAAATTATTAGATAAAAAATAGGTTCTTAAATTTTTTTTTCTTCTGAACTTCTTGACATGGAACCGCTAAGAAAAAAAGAAAATGCACTTTTCAATGGTTAGTGCCATTGTACCTTTTAGGGTCAAGTGCAATAGATTCTTAAATATTATTTCTTATGTAATAGTAGTTTATAATAATTTAAATTATAAAATAATATCATTAACTAGATTTGAGGGATAAAAGTAATTTTTTAGTATATTGAAACTAATCTTGAATGAAAGAAAATGGAGAAGAGAGAAAGGGGCTTCCCTGTCCTTCTTTATATTTCAATAGATAATTAACTTTTTTAAAAATAAAGTAAAAAATTCTTTTTTTCTTCTCTTTCTTTCATTTTTTTTCAATCCAAATATACTTATAAATTTTTAAATATACTAAAAAAAATATACTACCACCTAGTTGGCTAGTCGTAAAGAGAAAAAATATCTCATAAAATTTTCCACCAAAAGAAAAAAAGCGAGAGAGAGAGAGAAAAAAAAAGGTAGATAATATAGGCATATTGATAAATTTGTTATCATGATTTTAGTCTAATACTATCATTAAAGTAAACATATTTATTTATTTATTTTTGATAATTATAGTTAAGGTATTTTAAAGTTATTTTCTATATATTTTTAAATAAATTAACAATCTTAAGAAACTCAATATATTAAATTTAACATATAAAATTACACTTAATCCAACCTCAAGTTAGTAAACATATTTATTAAAAAATAAATTATAAGAGAAACATATTTAAGATATACTCTTTTTAGTGCCTAGGATTCTACAGAAAAATGGAATCCAATCAAACTATGTTATAAATATATTTTGGGAGTAATACCTATCTATCTTATATCTTAAATATTAAAAAAATTATTTTAAAATTATATCGTTTCAATAAATTTTTATTAAAAAAATTAAAATATTTTATTTTTAAAATATGAATTAAAGTATTTTTTTGTTATTTTTTATAATATTTTATTAAAATTACGTATATTTTTAAAATAATTTTTTTAAATTTTTACAAATAAGGTAGATAAACAATAACCTTTCTGTTTAATTTATATTTCTAAGAGAATTGCATATATGACCAAGAGATGCTTCCAAAGTGCTAAATACTGATTTTTCCCTTAAAAACTAGTAGTATATATAAGTCAACTGCACCAACGCAGATCATAAACATAGAAACCAACAAACTTGTAACCTTCCCATAAAATCTGCTTTAGAACACGAGGGTGATTTTTCAGAGACATGGATGCACTATTATGTTATTCAGAACATGACAACACTCACACTAAAATCAAGAATTTATTTTAATGCTTAGGAGTTACTAGTGTTATATATATATATATATATTTTTTTTTTTTCTTTTTCTTTTTCTTTTAATGTCTTAAGTACCATTGAAGATTTGTATATTAATGTGCGTTGTAAACTTTTTATATCATCATTATCTATATATTTCATTATTCTGTTTTTATATTTTTTGATGTACTAAAAAAATTATGTTTTTTTAAGGTTTATATAGAATAATATTAATAAGAACTCCTAAATTATAAGTACAAAATAATGTTTGTTTTAATCCTTTATAAACTGAAAACGATATTACTTTGAAACTCATGCATCTTATAAGTCTAAAAATAATGTTGTTTTAAAACTTATATGGTTACAGTACACACACCGATTCTTTGGACTGACATTCAATGTTGTTTTGTTTAAGTAAAAGCATCTGACCAGAATGAACAACTTCCGTTGTAGTCTAGTTGGTTAGGATATTCGGCTCTCACCCGAAAGACCCGGGTTCGAGTCCCGGCAACGGAATCATTCTTTTTGAATTTTGTTTTTTATGGGCTTCACAAAAGGCCCAACTAAAGAAGCACTAAAATGGTCCGACTAGAAAGTAAGCCCTTTCCTCCCAAATCTCCAGCCCAAAATTTTGGCAGTGGCGCCTGGAAGAAACACCTCAACCTCCCAAATGCAAACATGGCTGCTGCTGCGCTGACTGGGGTACCCATTGAAAAGGGTATCACGACTCACTGAGTCGGCCACGAGACGAGGTTCTTCGAAGACTGTCCAAGATCCCTCATCTCCTCATAGTAAGTTATCTTAAACCCCATGATATGATCCTCAATATCACATTGAGTTAAAAACACTGGAATTGCTGGGGGGCAGAATAGGAGTGCACATTTAGCCATTTGGTTGCATTTGCCCCAATTGTTAAAAGTTTTTTGAAATTATAACATTTGGGTCTTTCACTTGCGTCTTCTATTGCATGGAATAGAAAAAGTTAAACATCTGGAGAAATTTTAACTTCAAGGAGGTAAACAAGTGTCCTCCTGTAGGTTAGATCTCGGTTCAAGTTTTGAAAATTTTTCTTAAATATTATATATATAT